AGCATGGCCAAATTAAAGTCCCTTAGATCCCAGAACCCCATGCCTCCTTCTTCCTTGCTACTATACATTGTTTCCCAAGATAACCAATTACCAAAAATCTGGTGTTCCAAGTGTTCAACCACTTTCTGAGCATTTTCTTCAGATAATTAAAAATGGTTCGCTTGCTACGACCAATCAAAGAGGGTAACCCCAAATACCGACCGTGATCAATGGAGCTCTGCTTACCCAGAATATTTTGCAAGAAAGCTTGAAGTTCTAGAGGGGTATTTGCACTGAAGAATATACCAGATTTTTGGTAATTGGTTGCCTGCCCAGAAGCACATTCATATTGGTGCAGTAGTTGTTTAACATGAGAACATTCTTCAGCATTCGCTCTGAAGAAAAAGACGGAGTCATCTGCAAGTAAGTGGGAGACGCTAGGACTTTGTTTACACACCCAAATGCCATGTATTTTACTAATTGCTTATGCGTTCCAAAACAGAGCAGATAAACTCTCTGTACATAGTATAAACAGATAGGGGGATAGAGGGTCGTCTTGCCTTAGCCCCTGTTGCGGGATAGTGGGCCAATTGTTTCTCCGTTAAAACTTACTTTGTAGTTTACCGTAGTTACACAGTTCATTAGCATTTCCACCCATTTTCCATCAAACCCCATCCGATGTAAAATTGCTTCCAGATATTCCCACCGTACCTTATCAGATGTCTTGCTTATATCAACTTTTAGCGCCATTTCTCCCTTCTTTCTTCATCTTGTGAATAATTTCGAAGGCTTGTAAAACATTGTCCATCATCAGTCTATCCGGCACAAAAGCAGATTGTGTCTTTGCGATCATATCTGGCAGTAAATCCCACAGCCTTTGAGAATATTTTGTAAATCACATTACACAAAGAGATAGGCCATAAGTCCTTTAGAGATTCCGAATTATCTTTCTTTAGAATGAGTACAATTACCGTATCATTAACATGTTCAGGTAGTTCTCTCTATTCAAACCATTGTTGGCAACTTTTGGTAACTTTCGGTCCGACAATTCTCCAAAATTTTTAGAAGAAAGCTGGATTCATGTCGTCTGGGCCAGGTGCCTTATCTGGATGTATTTGGAATATTGCGCACCTGATTTCCTCGGAGTTAAGAGCTGTTAACAGCCGGTTGTTAGCCTCAGTCGAAACTCTGTTTAACACATTCCAGATCACAGTATCACATTCCAGATCCCCATCTATTGCCCGGAAAAGCTTTGAGAAATATTGAACAATATGGTGTTGCATGGTCACCAGATCATTAATACATTCCCCCTCCTCATTGCGCAATACCATAATAGTGTTTTTCCGCTTTCGTTGGGAAGCCTGTTATGAAAATACCTTGAGTTCCTGTCCCCATTCTGTAACCAGAACTTTTTGGCCCATTGTTTCTAGAATAGATCCTCTTACTCCAAGAGTTGGATATATTCCTCATTCAGTGCAGTAAGGGCCGACTGTTTAGTACTGGTGCCCGCGCTTGTTGCCTTCATCAATCTTTTAAACAGTATGTTTTTTCTTGTAGAGAAGTTACCAACTTGTTCATTACCCCACTCCTATGATGCCCGACAGCACTCCCTTATTTTGGCCACAATATTTTCCTCACCCTTTCTTCCCCAGCTACTTATGACCACATCCACGATCTTCAGGTGTAAGAGCCATGCATTCTCAAACCGAAACCCGATTGATCTTCGGCTGGTGTTGATACATTCACATTTTAAGAAAATATGTGAGTGATCCGATACCGGTGCATAAAGATTTTCCAAACGGGTTTGCGGGAACCGGTTCAAAAACAATTCATTCACAACGCACCTATCAAGCCGCTCTCTGACTGCTTGTGCATCCCTACCCCGCGACCAGGTGAATCCATATCCAGTTAATGGTAAATCCTCTAACTTGCAGTGTTCTAGGGTATCTTGAAAACCAGTCATTAATGCATTTGAGGGAGCTGCTACACCTTCCTCGTCTGCTGATATAATGGCATTGAAATCTCCTATTATTGTCAGGGAGCATTTCTGTTATGTGCTAGTTGCCTAAGCATCTGATGCGACTCCCATCTTCTACTTCTGTTTGGATTTCCATAGTAACCTGCCAGCCATCATACACTGTCCATGGGTTGTTCTATCCTCATGTCATTATTATTTGAAGAATAAGATACCACAGAAACCTTACAAGAGAATGACCAGAGTATCGCGAGTCCTCCACCCTTGCCTACCCCAAAAGCATTTTCATACCCAATTCTTGCTCTGACCATATCTAATTTCCTTTTGTCAACAAGAGTCTCCATTAAGAAGACCACATCTAGCTTGAATTTTCTTATTAGATCACAGAGAGCTACAACTGCAAGAGGGTTGTCAAGTCCTCAGCAGTTCCAGCTTAGTGTTTTTATGGTGACTGGCCAGCCTGGTGCCTAGGTCTCGCTGATAATTCCGAGTGCATAAGCTCTTGCTTCTGTCGCTGCTCAATTAGTCCCGACTCCTGCTCCTTACTTTCAGAAATAAGTGTGAGTTGTTGTCTCTTCCTTCGTCTTTTTGGTTTAAACTTGTGTTTTTTGCCAATAAGGCCTGTTCCCTTCCCACGTTCAGGCCCACAATTTCACAGTTGTTTCGGCCTAACTCGTCCTCCAGGTCCATATATTCGGTCGCCCTCTCCTTTTTTACTTGCCTGACCAGTTAACGAGATCCCGCCAAATTCAGGAGATTGAATGACCTGCCAGAGTCAATCTTTCCGTGTTTATCCCCTCCATATCCCGCAAGTTTTGCCCTCTATTTCGGGCGGAATCTCCCCATCTCATCATGTAGCCACCAGCTCGTTGGTGCGGATTTTCGGCAGGGTTGTGCCCGGAGGGACTCATCCCATTCTGGTTTTAGTGACGCAGGACCAGTCTGAAGGAGTAATTTGCAGAAGTTCTCCGAGTGACCCAACCTCCCACACAGGTAACGGAAAAATGGGAGTCGTTCATACTTGAAGTGGGCATAGGTTGACATGCCATTGCGTAGGTTTAGTTTCTTTCGTCGAAACAGAGGTTTGCGAACATTTACAGCCACCCAAATCCTCATATACTCCAGATCACTAAGGTTAACTTACTTTGTATCATATTCAATAAACCTCCTTAGAAAGCTACCGAATTGTTGCGCTATGACTTCTGACATGCACCTCGCCGATAAAGCATGGACTTGGACCCAAAATTGGTAGAAGTCTACGTCCACGTTACTAGGATCCTCACCCTGTTGGAGCTGGTGCAACACCAGGAGATGGCTGTTGAATGTCCAAGGGCTTCCATTGATGATTCTTTGGATGTCCACTTCATGAAAAAAGCGAAATAAGTACCTTCCATTTCTGAGTTCCTTAACACTGACCCCACTAACGGCCTCCACATGCCGGCCAGTGTGTTCCTCATTGGTTTAAACTTGATCGCCACATCCGTTAAAAACCGGCCAACAAGAGAAAGTTCATAGGATTCTTGGGTTTCTGGGACAATATCTGCTAGATTTCACCTATCTTCTTCCGCGTCTGTTATCGTGAAGTGCTTCTTCAGCCATGGTGGAGACTGACGGCGAGGTTAAACAACAAACGTGCCTTGCCATAGGGGAGGCTCCGTTCAAACATGCCAAGTGGCAGTCAATTTTACATGGTTAATAAAATGGTATTTTTATGTTGACAATATTATGAGAATTTATTTACAAGCATTTAAACAAAAATATTCAATCATTTTGACTATAATTAAAATAAATTAAATATTCATATAGCTCATCAAGCATATTGATACCAAATCATAATTTGTACTTTTATCTCAAAAAATATTTTTGACTATGAATATGATCGAGTTTTCATGTCAGAGGATCCTGTTTGTCAAGCTGATGTAATTTCCTTCTGGTCTGATACTGTCACCATCTCCCAGAAAAAGGGTAAGGATTTTTATAATGTTGGGTTGAAGTGGTTTTCATGTGAGGGAGTTTTTATTTTTTGAAATAAGATTAGTTTTTAATCAGAATATTAAGAACTGTTAGAGCGAATCATATGCAGGCGCAGACATGAAGGAGTTTGAAATAAATAAATAAATAAATAAATACAATACAATACCACCCAAACATATGATTTTGCTCCCACATAGATGGCAAAGACATGAACAACATCAAAAGAATCTTACATTAGTGTAAATGGTATTGTAATATTCCCATCACCTGCATTGGCATTCTAACCAACACCAAAGAAAATAAAAGAGGAAAGAAACCCATGAAGTCTCCAGTGCTCTTTAAAAGAAAAAATTTTGATCTCTAATCCTGATCTATGCTCTACTTAATACAATGGAACTTACAGGTTGAAAACAAATACACAGACAGACATTAACAACAGTTGTCTGCTCAACTTCACCAATCTTCTCCCGCTGGACACATTTAAACCATCTAGTTCATTATATATTTCTACTTACTTAAACAAAAACTAAAACCTATCTTCTCCAACCATTTTTTGTAACTGAGTACTGGTTTTGTCTTCTATCTCATGTATTCAGCAACACTTTGGTTAATTGTTTCAAGGAAAGAAACAAAACCCATGACACTGGTGAAGCCATTTCCATCAACGTCCTGTTCCTCAATAAGATAGTTCTCAAACACTGTGGCATCTTCCTGCCCTCCCCGGATAAAAATGAGTTTGGGAGTGATGCTTCTCTCCTGCTTCAGCTTGTTGATCAGTGTCCGCAACAGACCTAGAAGAAACAAGTATTGTATAAGAAAGCAAAGGAAGATAATTGATTATGAAACCCCCGGGCTATAGGAAACGAGCAATCATTAATAATCAGAACTTACAATCATGGGGTGGAGGAAAAGGGAGTGCTGGATCCGCCGTAGAAGAGTAAAACACAATTAGAGTTGTAAAGGCATCAAGGAAAAATATTGGACTGCCACTTGTTATCAGTGCTGCACGACTCAACGAGTGACGTGGATACGCTTGTTTATCAGGTGTGGAATATGACATTAGTACTGGATATACAGCTCGGTGAAGGGAGCTTGGTTCCAGTGCACTGACACACATTTTCAATCAAAAGTGAAGGCAATGAAGGCCATGATTATTTCTAGTTCATAGAAGAGAAGATTGAGAAAACAAAAACAATATATGCTGCAAAAACTATGATATGACATAAAATTGAGACTAATTTCAGTAAGAATAAACAAATGAAATGACGTAAATTTTTTATTTCAACCTTTAAGAAGATTAGGTGACCTAGAAAATGCAGAAATTGAGAATAGGCAAAAGATAATATTTCCATTGATCTGTGTTAGGACCTGAAATGGCACCATTAAGTATAGGATTTCAATTATGCTTTAAGTCTGCTTTAGGTTACAGGAATTACCTGTTATAAAAGGAATTTTACTTGAATTTCAGTATTATAGGACACTGGTACGACAGCTACCCCTATTGCACCATTACGAGTCTGTTATTATTTTGGTTTTTATTCTCTGTACTGGTATATATATACCACCCAAAATTGTAGAAGGGATATAAAGAAAATATCAGTAAAAATCATCTCATCTTCTATAACATTATTCTTCTTCTGTGATCTCATCTTCTTTAACATTATTCTTCTTCTATCCTCACAACTCTGTTCTTTCTCCTATCTTTCCTTCCTCCGCTGGTCTCCATTTTTCTGCCTCCTTCAGGTCTAAAACTTCTCAAAGACTAAACCAACCTGCTTCCCAGCTGTTGTTAGACAACCAGGTTCTTGACAATCTACCGGGAAAGACTTAAACCAGCGATTCAATTAATTTTTAAGCCTTCTATATGTTGAGAAAAATATCTACAACAATGGTACCTTCTGAAGTAGTAGCTTTTTTCTGCAAGCTTGACAGGGGAAAGGACTATGATTGTCTACCTTTGAAGATCTTCTAGATGCTAACTAGACTTAATTTTGCGAAAAGACCGTGTTCTTCTACAAGGGCTTACATCTTTTTTTTTTACCTTTTCTTGTCCTCTTAATTGCGAGCCTTTGGACTTATTTCAAGTCTCAACAGACCTTAGATAAGGTGATGCGGACATTTGTTCGCAAGGCATTAAAGAGAAGCATCAAGAAAATATTACAATGCCACTTGATCCAATCACAAGATTTTAAGTCAAGAAGCTAAGACATACATTCAAAACTTTGTATAAAGATGGATACAACAAGAATTTAGTACATGTGAACTATTTAAAGAATCAAAAAAGCCAAAGAAAATCATTAATTTTGTCCAAGCGTGTGGGCAGAATTTAGAATGAATGTTTAGAATCATTTTGGTCATTTTCTAAATAATTAAATTATGTTCATGTTTACTTAAATCATTTAATATTATGTTTGCCTAGGTCATTTAATACTATATTCTCCTAAATCATTTAATATCATGTTTTCCTATGTCATTCAATATTATGCTTCCCTAGGTCATTTAAATTATATTCATGTTTCCTACGTCATCTAATTATGATCCTTTGGTAGAATCTAAATGTTTTAGCCTATAAATATCTTCTTTATAATATAATATGACACATTTCGATTATTGAATGAATTTCATTGCCTTTGATAGAATTTTGACAAGTGAGAATTCTTATTCTTCTTGTTACATCAAGAATTGAATTAACTTATCAAGTTATCTTGTATCGTTTATTCGTTATTGCTTCTTTCATCTCAATCATCCAATTTCTCAATTATAGGTTAGTTGTGGGTTTGGTAGGGAGAATTTGTTTAAAGTTTTTAAGTTATCTATACTAAATATATATGTGGAGTTTTGAATGTAATCTTTGATCTTTGGGTTCCGCATCAATTTGGTATCAAAGCTTTGGCATTGGATAAATCTCTAAGTATCATTTGTGTTTGATTTATTTAAGTTTATCTTCTTATTTTTATTTGTTTAGATTGTTCAACTTCTATCTTTATTATTCTTAATTTTGGTTGCACTTTGTTCTTATTCTTCAATTATGTATAATATTTTGTTCTTGTTAGCCGAATTTCAAAAAAAAATTAAAAGAAAAGTAAAAAAAAGGAGAGAAAAGGAAAGAA